GGCCCGTCTATCACCAACATAGGCCAATCAGCTAACCAGTATTTTCGCCCCTTCCCAAAATTACTTCTACGGAAGGTTTCCAGATGGATATGCGAAGCAAATCCATCTAGCGGAAAATCTCGCGGCTTTTTCAAATCACGCGAGAATGTGTACAAAACAACAAAAATGGCGCCGGCAACGCTTCTGGCTGGTTTTCATCGAATGTCTGTGATTTTAAAGTAATTTTGAGTGATAAATAATTTTCTTTTGCGATCATTGCACTTGCAAATGCAATGAAATTTGTACTCCCAACAATAAAAACTACTTGCCCCAGGAGATCGGGCGATGGTTAACATCGAGCCCTGCTTGGAACAAGACAATTTAAATTTAAAATAAGAGAAAAAACCTGCAGTCTCTTTTTCCAAGTGCATGATATCTAATTGAGATAATTAGACTTATAAAGTTGGACATCATTGAGAAGTTGTTCAGATGTGAGTCGGCTCAGCTCAAGTCAACTACCAGATGTTTTCTATTGTCTATCAAATTGATTTTATTGTTTATCAAATGGTTTCTATTGCCTACCAGATGATAAAATAGTAAAATTTTAAGGAAGGAAACGGAGCACCTGGTGCTTTGAGTAGTGAATTTGTTTGATATTCTCTCTCCATCTCAACAGACTATGGTGCTTAAACATAATTACATTTCCTCAAGTTTGAAAAATATTTCCTAAGAGATCTACTCACAAAGTTGCCAAAGGTTTGAGCTTTCATCACACCGTACGCAGGATAGTCCACCTTCTGAGTTAGCCGTACCCCCTTCTGCAGTCTGAAACAAAAGACATCGATCAATAATGAGGCGTGCTGAAAGTCGACATGCATCCTCCTTGATCGAGTAGAGAAGACTGAGGAGAGATGTCTTACCTGACCCAGCAGACTCCTGCTATGACCAAAGCCAGTGAACCCGCTGCGATGAACACGCTGCTCATGACTGAGAACACAGAGAAACAGATGATCAGAAGGCTGGATTTATCTGCAGGTCTGTGACAGTCAGAGGAAGACATGGTCTCTGAGAGCAGCGGCAGGAAGACACTGAGGATGATAGTGAGACGGCGTGGCAAATCCAATGTTCTGTAAAGGATCAGCTAAATCACAAGACTTCAATGTAGGCAGCACTCACAAAGAACGCCTTTGAACTAAGACGCCTGGGCTGGGCTTGGTGACGTGGTTAGAATGTCAGATCGCGTCAAGATGGATTCAAACAGGGTCCGTTTATTGAGAGGTTAGTCCTGTTTTATCATTTATATAACAAATGTTCAGAGTTTAGATGTTTTGACAAACCACTGGCCTCTTTTCTCTGGATCCATCCAGCAGCTTGAATCAGCGACATAATCAGGAGCTAGACTCCCCAAAGATGACAGGCTAGCTTAGTCTAGGCCTCGGCTGTCAGACTGTGAACCTCCCTCTGTGTCCTCTGGGCCCCAGAAAGCCTCCATGGCTGATAGACAAACTTACTAATATAGATATGATCATTGGAGGGTGAGGCGACGATGAGAGGGTCTCTGAGCTGACCAGGAGTGTGGCTGGTGGTGGACGGTGGAGTCGTGGTGTTGAGAGTGATGCTGGGGCTGGTGGGTTCCTCTGTGGGGGATCCTCTGTGCGCGGAGCTTGGCTGGATGAGCTTTAAGTCCTGGGAGAGTGGCGCTGAGACAAAAGAAGGCAAACTTGGAACAATTACAGCATCAAGGATGTGGAGAAGCAAAGAGAAGCCTGGGAAGGCTTCATTCAGGTACCTGGCATCCTGGACGCGGTCCTTTGCTCGCTGATGATGGCCGCCAGGAAATCGATCTCCTCATCAAGCTCAGGGTAGGTCCTCACCGCACCTGCAGTCAAAGCGAGGCTTAAATCAGACCAGCTCAGAGAAATGGGCGGACGGTTTCAGATTCCACCACAAACCGATTTTTATATCAACCCCAAATCAAAAACTGGACAGCGTCAGAAACACAGAGTATTTTTATCACTGCGACGTGGTAAAATGAATTATTACTTTAAACAGCATCTCTGGAAGGTCAAAGGTCAAAATCATCTCAGAAAAGAACAGCTACTCAGGCTGTGTTTGTTTAAACCAATCAGAAATATTTCAGTGAGCAAATTAAAACCTCTAACAGGAGAAAACCTTTAAAAAAGTTTTTTTTTTTTAACGTTTCTACAGGCCTCTGAGGGGCCAATGGTTCCCAGAGGCAACAGATGTTAGTAGGAAAAGTTGGAATAAGTAAAGCCTTTTTTTAAAGCACGTTAGCCAGCTCTTCTTACATAAGTTTTATAGGCCAACTGTGGTAAAATATACTTTTACAAATAAAGACACTGACAGTGGATCCAAAAATACAGAAACCGGTTGATTATGGGGGGTCAACACCCTGCAGCTCAGGAGCCAGAAGTCACTCAGTGATTCTTAATCAATTCAGTTGATTTATATGTAGCACCAATTCTCAGCACTTCACCTCGCATCCCTCTACAGAGACGATTCAGTCGCACCATCCAGATTAGTTAAGAGTTCTCTATCCTACAAAACCCAGATGAGTTTGTGTCTTGCAGCCAGAGGTGGG